TTCCAGGTGAATTCGTTCCTTTAATTCTTTGTGAATAATTGTAAATCTTGAGTAGGTGTCTCAAGTGGTAAGGAATTCTTGTAGTGGGTTTCTACAAGAGGTGTTTTCTTGGGGTCAAGAAAGTGATTATCTTGAATGTAGGAGTGTATGCATGTGTAGTATGCTTGTAAAACTTCTTCATTAAGATAGTGGAACAAATCTTGATCAGGTTATGATTGAGGACTGGATGTAGGTCACATGTGGAGTGGCTGAACCAGGATAAAAGACTTGTGTAATCTTCTCTTACCCTTATATTTTACTTTGAGTAACATCTTGGTTGTGTGTTAAAGAGATCATTCTTGATTAACATGTTTGTATGCACAACATTGCATTAAACTGAATCAAAGTATTGCATATTGATTTCTCTTAACTTTGAAGTTTATCAAAGATTAGCCAAGAAAGCATTAGGACTCATTTTTCATTAACAAGTCTTTAAGGAGCTTCTTTGAAAATTCATATTAGAAAAGTTTGAATTGAAATGAAGATCCTAAGAACTCCAAAAAATTTTAAAGTGTCATAGAATCCAATTCACCCCCCCTCTTGGATTGAGCCATATTATTATATATATTTTTATATTTTTATAGCAGTCTAGATACACCGAAATGAGAGGGATCCAAAGATAGTATATAAGTATGAGATTGTATAGTTGAGGATGACTTAAATGAATTAATTTGTACTACTTATATTGACAACATATCTGCTTTTCGGTAGCTTATCTCATCAGAACTCCACAGTTAAGTGTGTTTGACTTGGAGTAATATAAGGATGAGTGACCTTCTGGGAAGCTTATTAGAAATTGTGTAGTAAGGACAAAACATATTGAAAAGTGAAGTGTCGTGAAATAGCATCCTTGAGAGGCCAAATATGAGGGTTGTTACATTAATAAATTTATTAAAATTAAACAAAAATTTTCCTACGGAAATATATGTGGATAAGTTATCTACAAAAATAATCTGTAGATAATTCCGTAGGTAAGTCTTTTAAATCTTATTCGTAGATAACAACTTTTGTGGGTAATCCGTAGATATGTCCATATATAAGGTTATCTACGGATAAACTTTTCGTAAATAATGTTATCTATGACCTTATTACCTACAGATTTTTGGTTGTAGATAATCTGTAGATAATTAAGACTTATCTACGAATTTTCATGCTTATCTACGAATTTCTTCCGTAGATAATCGTGATTTTTCTTGTAGTGTAAAGGAAGTGAAATAATCCCATTCATACTCTCGATGTGAGATAATGTTGGGCAGTCACAACAAAGCATAAGCACAAATAGTATACATATAAATCATAATAAGAAATTCACATTAATATCCATAAGATAAATATCAAATGTAATATGCAATGACTCAATCTACTTTTATGCATGTGTTGTCATTTAAAACATAATTGTCACTCAAAGACTCATAAAATAATATGGGAGTACATGTCGATGATAAACACCCGATCAAAGATGTTTGACACTAAAGTTGATAAGATAAGTGGGACTTGTTGGGCTATCTCAAACCCATTCGACAAATTTTAAAGTTTGGACTCCAAAATTTAAGTTTGAATTAAATTTGGTCCTTAATTTTTTGGCAGATGATAAACACACCTCCACTCTTGTATGAACATACCTCCTTTTTAAAAAAATATATATAAAATGTCTAAATTATCCTTAAAAAAAAAATTCCTAAATTTATATCTCCTTCTCCGTATCTCAATTTTCCGCACCTCCCTTCTCCGCACCCCACACCTCCCTTTCTTGCACCCCACACCCCACACCCCCCTTCTTCCTAAACCTCTTTCTGCTCAATGGCACACGCATTGCACCTCCGCCGTTGATCTCGCCCTCGACACCCAGCTAGATACTTCGGCGTCGAACAGCTCGCATTGCTCACTCAGGTTTTCTTCTTTCCTATGTTTCATGCCTAGCTCTTCAGAATTCGTACCCCCTCTGCTTCAGTTTTTGGGATCTGTGAACTACCCCTCCACCGTGACATGGTGGCGATGCTGCTGGACTACCACGCGAACCCCAATGTAAGAATCGTGGATGTAGCAAGTTGGACAGTGGTGAGGACGAGAGAGAAGCCATGAAATGTAGCAGTAATTAAACCTATATATAGCTGCTCCTATTTATTATATATTGCGCGGAGAAGGGGGGTGTAGGGTGAGGGGAAGGAGGTGCGGGGAAGAGAGTGTCGCCTTCCCTAATTCCGATGCTGTTGAGCGGCGGCTGGTAGTGAAAGGAATTGACGATCTTGGCTTAGATGGCTTTGCTCCTGGGGAACATCATTTATCGATAGTCAAGGTACCCGAAGTTTCATGAGCAGACCATTATAAACATTCGCCGGAAAGATCTGGAAAAAATTCCCGGAATATATGAGTCAGAGTATAATGCCTAATATTTTATACTACTTCTCTTTTTACGGCCTGTGATACCGGAGCCTCAACATCCCTTGCCTAAGAGGATTGCAAACCATAGGTTGTTTCAGGCAAATCTCAGCCACATCAATTTCAAAGGAGAGGGGGTGTAAATTTAGAAATTTTTTTAAGGGTAATTTAGACATTTTATATATATATTTTCTAAAAAGGAGGTGTATTTATATGAGAGTGGAGGTGTGTTTATCATCTGCCTAATTTTTTTGACCAGTCCAATAAAGCATATGTCATAAATGGGTTCATACTTGGCTAGTCCAGTCGGGTCATGAGTTGCTTACTTCTTTTTTAAATTTTAATATTTTTGTATTTTACTTATTGTTGAAAAGTAAAAGAGAAAGACAATAGTTAAAGAGTGAGAAGTATATATGTTAAGAATGGTGCTCACTAAAATGTGAGTTAGCTGCAACAAACACAAAATTGATGTTCATTAATTTGGAAGAGGAAAAAAAATACTTTTCGTTTTACTTGAGCAAAGTAAATTTATTTTATAATTTTTGTACAATTAATTTTATTGTTATTATTAGTTTATATATATTTATATTGATTAGCTAATTTGGTCATTTATTTTACTAGAGCAAAACAATTATTATAATTTAAGTGAGTTCTTTTGTGCACGTGTAGTTAATTATATGGTTTTAAAACTAATTTATTTTTAGGATTTGAAATTCAACAATTACTTTGTGTGAGATTTTATAACATAGTCATTTTTATATTTTAGATTACGATAATGAAGATTATGAGGATGGAGGAGAGATCATCAATTTATTAGAAGTTGTAAGACTTCCTAATGAAAGCTCAAATACCATTGTTGAAGACAAAGAATGATGATTTGAAATATGGTAAGAAAATTACCTATTTCTTATTTGAATTAAATTGTCCATTATAAATTACCTAAAAGGAAAAATTTTATTGTTATGTTTTTTTTCTTTCTATTTTATAGGTGTTTTCATTTGTTGGCATATGGTTTCGCTTTGATTTGAGATATATACTACTATTATGAAGATACTAGAAGACTTTTAGATTTCTGAGTTTGACTTTTTTAAGCTAATTATATTTGAAATAATAAAAGACCATTGCAACTTAGTCTTTTTAACTTATAAAATCTTGTAAGCGAAACTTATCAGAAATTGATTTGAAATCCTTTTAATATTCTTCAAGACTGTCTCACTAAGCAAAAGCTCAAAAATTTTACGAACAACAACACATAATCTTCACCTTATGAAGGCTAGCTTAGCAAAACTTCTTCTCCAAACAAAAACCCCTATAAAATCTACACAAAAAAGGATATTTTTTGTGATGGAAAACCCTTTTCCTTTGGGCCATAAACACCCAAATTAATTGAAACTCGCAAAAACTACATTAGATTCAACATATGCAACCAACAACAGGAAACCAAAAACCCTCCTTAAGTAGGACCGAATCACACTCTATGAGGAGTAAGAGTGGACCAAACACGACCAAGTGACCATAACACACCTTGCTAGATCTTTCCCTTAGTGAATGTGCTTGGTGACCGACACCTTTGGTAGGGTAGCTCTATTTATCAGCATGTTAGGCCACCAAATGAGTTTTCAAGCAATATGTACTTTTATAACTCATGTTTATTTATTACAGTTGTTTTATGTTCTTTATATTTTCAATTAATAATTTTAAATTTATATTTTCAATGAGTGATTTTAAACTTATGTATGGTCTTTATATATTTATTTAAAGTATTTATTATTGGTTTTTAATGTTTTATTTTATTTTATTTATTTGACTAGAGTTTAAATATGCAATAAACTCCACTTTTTTTTTGTTTTAATTAAAAAAAATCTTTTATTTATTTTAATAATTATTTAGGGCTGGAAAGCTTCATATTATAAAACAAGTTCTAAGTGATATATTCATTATATTGAGTCGTTTGTTTAAACTTTCTTTTTTCTCATAAAAACGTATCTTTTTAGTAAATAAGCACTTTTTTGACTTTTTAATGTGTTTTTCTATTTTTTTTCTTCTAAATAAGTAGTTTTCTATTTTTTTTAAGAAATAACTCTTATTTTCTTTTTAAAGAATTATTATTTTTTAAATGTACTTATTTAAAAACACTTATTTTTAAGTTTAAATAATGGATGCATTGCTAATTCTTGTTAGAAATTAATAGTTAAGATTTAACTTTAGTATGAAAAAAAGCCATGTGATTGAATGGTCACTCTTTACAGTCGTAAACAATTAATATCATGATCTCATAAAAATGTAAAGTGGAAATGCTAATTAAAAGTAATGTTTAAACAAAAGAAATGAAAATCAACAACAATATATTTATTACCGCCGAAATATAATCAATCTTACAAACGATAATATTGAGAACTTCATTAAAGAGAAAATATTAACTACACATATCCCAAACCAATACATAGAGGGTGCAAAAGGATTATGAAATTATGAATAAGGTTGAGATGCAGTGTAGCTATGTATATATAGAGAGAGGCATTATAAATATTAGGGATAACTTTATAGCTTGAGGAAGTAGAGTGTTATCATTTTATGGAGTTGGAATTGGCTTGTGAATTGGTAATGGTGGTAGAAGTGGTTTCTTGAATTTGGGATCAAGTGGTAGTTTAGGAATAGGTTTTTTGAAGAAAGGTTTTGGTTTTAAGAATTCCTCTGACTCAACAGTTGGGATGGGCTTTTTCACTACAAATGGTTTAGGTATAGGCTTAACAAGTGGAATCGACTTTGGAATAGGTTTAAGAATGGGAATTGGCTTAACAATTGGAATTGGCTTTGGTATAGGCTTAACAATAGGAATTGGCTTAACAATGGGAACTAGTTTTGGTACAGGCTTATATACTGGAACTGGGATAGGCTTAACAATAGGAATTGGTTTAACAATGGGAATTGGCTTAACTATGGGAATAGGTTTTGGAAAAAATCCTTTGAATTTTTCTTCTTCAACAGGAATTGGCTTAACAGTTGGAATAGGCTTAATGATTGGAATTGGTTTTGGTATAGGCTTATAAACTGGGATAGAAATAGGTTTAACAATAGGAATTGGCTTTGGAATAGGTTTAACTATGGGGATTAGCTTTGGAACAGGTTTAACAATTGGAATTGGTTTTGGAAAAAATCCTTTGAACTTTTCTTCTTCATCAGGTCCTTTTAGACTAGGTCTTGCTAGCTCTTCATTTACATGCTTTCCGTCTGTGTTCACTTCATTCCCTACATAAGAAATGCAAAAGCATACAATTAAGTTAAACACATAATATTTTTGCAATAACGAACATAAATTTGAACTGTTTCAAGTAGATAATTAAATTAAGAATATAAAATTAGAATTAATTCATTGCCAAACATAAAGTATAGAATAATGCCACTTTGCATGATGACTATAACTAGGTGATAAAATTATTGTATGATCCGAAATGTTATAGTTCCAACTAATCTCCAAGCAACATGCATGTTGTTGATTTTTGTTTTTGAATTAAAAGAAATAATTATGTAAAACATGGAAATTGGCTGCACAAGAAAATTTCAGTTCATATAATTTTTTAACTGGTTGACCATGGAGGGGCCAAATCTCCATGTAGTTAACTTTTATTGTATTTTTCGTGGGGACTATCCGTGTGTTTGCATCCGCGTTTTAACGTGGTTTTTCACGTTCAACTTGAAGTAATGAATAGCTGCTTCTACGTAAATCCGTATGTAAACGTGGAGAGACGAAAGAATTGCGTTTCAAAATGAAAAGCAAACACCCACTATAGAATTTAATTATGTTGGTAACTAAATCCAGGATCAAAATACACAACTTAATTTCACGCATGTACTGCATGCCCAGATAAATGATTGAATTGAATTCTGAACTGAAGACAATATATAATATCAGTCAAATAATAACATAAAGTACAATTCATTCACTGAATCTTGTGTATGAAGCGTCCAACTTTATACTTAAAACACATGCTACACACCGACCTATGTATAGTGTATTATTAGCTTTTTTTTATCTCACATGCCACAAGCAATGTCCTAATTATATGCATGTCAAGTGTGGATCCAATTTTCATAACCTGATCTACGTATAGGTATGGTATACGACAGTTACGTAAAATCTATTAGAATCCACATGGTGACAGAGTTTGAATATATATGTACAGAAGGTTTTAAGTTGGAACTTGATCTCAATTTTGTAATTTTTTTTTATTAAAAAATGCTAGCTAGAGTCACTGTATTTTAAATATATTAAAGAACAAATGACTTATATATACTTTTGATCTCATGTCACATTCTGAAATTAACCCGTTTGTCTAACTTTACTCAAATTACAGTTATCAAAGTTACATACTTAAATTTTTTAGCTTCTACAAAAATTTTACTGTTTCTTCTATAAATTGTAAATATTAAAATGAATAATTTATTTTTTTAAGGATCAACACGAAGGAAATTATAAAATCATATTTTAAAGCCTAACAAAATTAAATTCATGAGTCGATACTAGCATGAACCACAAACCTGAAATTTGTGTTGTCCCAAAAACAGAAGTGAAGAAGGTTGGAAGCAGCAAGAAGGAAAGCAAGAAGCGCAAAAGTGCGCATTTCAAAGTGGAAGCCTTTCTCATTGAGAAAACAAATAGGCCACACACTAATCAAAGCTCAAAAGGGAAATGTTTTGAGGCTTGAGTTACTCTTGTCCTATACTCCCATTATTTATAATACCTAGCTTCAGACCAAAATTGGTGCCGATAAATATCTTTAGAAAGTATTTTTAAATAAAATAAAAAAATAAAATTATTTTTTCATAAGTTAAAATTATATTCTTAATAAATTAATGCTAAAATATATTTTATTCTTTATCCTATTTTTGAGGTTTTTTTTGGTTATTTATTTAAAAATAATGTTCCTTTGTTTTTTTTAAGTTTAGATTAACTTTCATGCAATTTTTATTATGTTTATGACTTTTTTTTTGTTTTAACATCTATCGGATTATATAGTTTTCATATAAGTGAAATTAATGAGATAAATTTTATCTATTAATCCAGTCTAAAAATGATTCAAAATCATATCTTAAAATTGAAAATATTGTTTCTTTAAATTAATAAAAAGACTAAATTGACTCAAATTTTAAAATAATGAATCAAAATATGTTTTAAAAATATAAATGACCAAAATAAATGTTTTAAAATAAGATAAAGGAATAAAAGTATAACTTAAGCTCAATTAAAAATTAATTTCGTAAAAAAGCTATTATGAAAAACTTCTACAAATGAACTTAAAAAAATTATTTTTTTTATTTTCTACTTTTTTTCACAAAAATATTTGTGGAGAAGTCTTTGATAAAAACATTTATTCACTAAAATTAGATGTTTTTAAGTCAAGTTTCTTCACCTAATGGTTGTAAAATTTGTCTTGAAAACAGGAAGTTGATCTAATACTCTCTCTTATATTGGATTTTTATTTATGTTAAAATAATATTTAATTAATAATAGTCATATTTTTCATGGTTAGATTATTTTTTAATTGTTAATATTGTATGCAAAATGTCCATAATTAGATGGTTTTAAATATACTCCGAGAATTTAGTTTTGGTTTATGGATTATTATGTGGATGGTTGAAACTTGTACGTATGTTTAGAGAGGTCAATAAAGAGTTTAACTTGATTAAAACCGTTATTGTTGCTGTGATAATGCATGATGCTCTCTCTCCATTAAACGAGCCTCCCAAATTAGGTGTTTCTTTTCTTTTGGGGTGGTTAGAGAAGAGATGTTCATTTGTGTCAAACAATGACGTGGAAATCTAGACCAGTGTTATTCTACGTACGTACGTAGCAGCCACGTCACATTTTCATGCAACATTATTTTAATTTGCACTGTTTAGCAGTTCTGGAAAAGATATATACATTCATCAAACTATTAGGAAGCTTCGAACACAACATGGCTTTTCAAAGTTCATACCAGTTTGACTGTAGACAGGGTAAAGATTCTAATAAAATTACATGAAAAGCGAATTAAAGAAATAAATAATTACAATATATATATATATATAGAGAGAGAATAAAATAAGATGAGTTGTTAGTTAAGTTTTGTTAGTTTTCTATTAATTCTATTTTGGGGTTATTATGACTAACCCTTATTGTATATAAGTGTTTAGAGGCTTGTAGAGGTTGATTATTGAGCATAATAAAATCATTTTATTCAGCCATTCCCTTTTCTTCTCTACTCTCTTTTTGTTTTATGGTATCAAGAGCAATCTCAAGGAGAGCTCCGTCGTGCCACACTCTGATCCAACATGGCTGAAGAAGAAGGTTCTTTAAAACAAGGCAACATCAAGAAAGGAGATGAGTCACAGAATCCCAGCAACCACCAGCCAATGACTTCTTGTATGATGTTTGGTTAAGGTGCAATACTATGGTCATTTCTTGGATAACTCGATCTGTTTCTTTGCAGATTGCACAAAGCATTGTATATATTGACAATGCAGAGGATTTGAGAGACAAATTTTCGAAAGGAGACCATTTCAGGATGTCTGATCTCCTACAAGAAATTCACTCTATCAAACAAGGAGAAAGAACTATTTCCACTTATCATACAGATTTAAAAATTCTATGGGAGGAGTTAGAAATCCTGAGGCCTATCCCAGCTTGCTCCTGCACTGTAAAATGCACATGTGAGCTGGTGAAAACTTTGAGAAATTACAAGGAAACTGAATATGTAATCTGCTTCCTCAAAGGTCTGAATGACTGATCAGACCCTAGGTACTAATGATGGACCCTTTACCTAACATTAACAAAGTTTTCTCTCTTGTTTTGCAACAAGAAAGGCAGGTCTTAGGGACCTTGCTTCAAGAGGCCAATTTGGTGGCAAGCATAACAAACAATAAACAATATTTTGGAGGAAGAAATGGATCCTTATCTGGAAGAGGTAGAGGAAGATCTAATCAAAAAAATTTAGCAACCAACCACAAAAAATCTGCACCTTTTGTGGAAAAAAAAAGGCACACAGTGGAGACTTGTTATTTCAAACATAGATTTCCTCCGAATTTCAAGTTCAAAAATAAAGGACAAACATCAACTGTGAACTCCTACACCTCAGATTCCTCTACCTCATCTAACACTGTTGAAGGCAGTGATCACAAAATTATTGGAAAGGAACACACTGAGGTAAGCAGTACCATTACAACTGAACAATATAATCAACTTATGGAGATACTCAAGGGATCAAATGTAAATGAAGAAACTCATGTTGTAAACAATCTCCAACAACATCTAGGTAATATCTTATCTACTCAAAAAGAGCAAAAATTACTTGATAATGTTTGGATACTGGACAGTGGCGCCACTAACCATGTATCCAACTCACTTTCTTGCTATGATTCTTATAACACCATTGAGCCTATAAGAATTCAATTACCAAATGGATTCATTACTCAAACACAGATTTCTGGTACTGTTGTTTTCTCTGGCAGATTTTTTTTACAAGATGTCTTATACATCCCTGATTTTAACTACAATATTATATCTGTTAGTAAAATTGTTAAAAATTTCAATTGTAAAATTGTCTTTGACAAGCTATGTTGTTATATCCAGGATCACAACAGCAAACTGATGATTGGTCCTGCTAATCTTCAATGCAATCTGTATATCCTTCAAAGGCAAAAATTTTTAGAGACTAAGATCGTTAATTTTGCTAGAACTTCCACTGAAAACAATGTGAATAATTCCAATTTTGATTTGTGGCATTATAGAATAGGTTATCCATTTGATTCTGTTATACAGCAAATAAAAGGACAATTTCCATATGTTAAGCATGATCACAAACTTGTCTGTGACTATTGCCATTTAGCAACGCAATGCAAGTTATCTTTTCCTATTAGCATTAACTATACAGCTTCTTGTTTTGATTTGATACATATGGATATTTGGGGTCCCCTTTCTATTTGTTCCATCCATGGCCACAAATATTTTCTAACTATAGTGGATGATTTTAGTAGAAACACTTGGGTTTTCCTTATGAAAGCTAAATCTGAAACCAGGACCCTTATCCAGAATTTTATCTCTAATATTTACTCAATACAAAAAGAAATTTAAAATTATAAGGTCTGATAATGGCATAGAATTTTGCATGCCAGATTTTTATAACAGTCAAGGTATTATACATCAAACATCTTGTGTGGAAACACCACAACAAAATGTTGTGGCTGAAAGGAAACATAGACACATTCTAAATGTGGCCAGGTCTTTATTATTTCACTCCAATCTGCCTAATGTTTACTGGTCATATGTTGTTCTTCATGCTATACATCTAATAAACAAATTGCCCACTATTGTGCTGAAAGGAAAATCACCTTTTGAAATTCTTAATGAAAAACCCCCCAGCTTATCGTGATCTAAAAGTCTTTGGCAGCTTGTCTTTTATTTCTACACTTACTCAACATAGAAATAAATTAGATCCTAGAGCTAAGAAATATGTCTATCTAGGAATTAAAGTTGGTAAAAAAGGTTACATTGCTCTAGACTTAACCACTAGAGAAATTTATCTTTCTAGGAATGTGATTTTTTATGAAAATATTAATATATTTCCTTTTCACAAGGTTCCTGACATTAATAAACAGGTTGATCCTCAAGTAAGTGAGAATTTTGATTTCCTATCAATTGATATTGATCTACCCAACAATTATCCTATGGAGGATGAAGTTTCTGACAACCAACTTGGTTCTGTTATGCCTCAAGTCACTCAAGGTGAGCTTGGTTCCCCTACACCTCCAAACGTTGACTTTCAAAGATCAACCAGGCATAAGCAAGCACCAACTTACCTGACTGGTTATCACTGCAACCTTTTACAAAACACTAAAATTCATGATTCTAACAATATAAGGTACCCCCTGTCCTCTGTTTTATCTTATCACTCTCTGAATCTTGAATTTTTAAAATTCAATCTTTCCATAACTACTGAACTTGAGCCCAAAAACTATCGACAAGTTGCTCAATCTCTTCATTGGATTAAGGCAATGCAAGATGAACTTGCTGCACTAAAAATGAATAAAACTTGGTCTTTAACCCCTTTACCCATAGGAAATTCTGTTATTGGATCCAAATGGGTTTACAAAAACAAATATAATTCGGATGGGACCTTGCAAAGATATAAGGCCAGATTAGTGGCCAAAGGGTACAATCAAACTGAAGGATTGGATTACTTCGACACTTTTGCTCCGGTAGCTAAGTCTGACTACTATAAGGCTACTCCTTGCTATTGCCTCTACTAAGAATTGGTTTCTTCACCAACTTGAAATCAATAATGCCCTTTTACATGGTGATTTAACCGAGTAAGTTTTCATGGAAATTCCACAAGGACTGGCTGTTTCAGATCCTACAATGGTTTGTAAATTACACAAATCTATCAATGGCTTAAAACAAGCCAGTAGACAATGGTTTGCTAAACTCTCTACTTTTCTTTTTAATCTTGGATATAGAAAATCTTGTTATGATCATTCCCTTTTTATTAAGAAATTCAATTCTAAGTGTATCATCATTTTAGTTTATGTTGATGATCTTATATTGGCAGGAGATGATGCAAAAGAAATTGCTTCTGTCAAACAAAGTCTTGATAACACTTTTAAATTTAAGGATCTTCGTAGTCTCAAATACTTCCTTGGTCTTGAAGTGGCAAGATCAAATTCTGGTTTACCAT